TGGCAAAGGGCACCGTTCTTCAGGGAAGGCAGAAGGCACATTTGGGGTTTCTGAAAACGCCGACAGAAACCACTGGGCTAGGGCAGCGGCAGGACCTCTCCGCCCAGCCCTCACTCACCAGAGGCCTGCCCCCACCCAGCCGACAGGGATGGCCCGTGGGGATGGGCACAGGACAGTGTCCCCAGCTCTAGCGACGTCGTTTTGAGTTCAAAGCTAATGTCCACTTGAGACATGAGTCTGAATTTTGTGTTCTCTGTCAGGGTCAGACTCTTCAAGTGGACACCCCACCGATTTTGCTGGGAAGTTGTGCTCCTCCCCCCAATAATTTTCTAAAAGCGTTTGGGGCGGTGGTGGTAGTGGGAGCACTCAGCAGGAGCCCTGGTGGCGGGGGTGTGTGACACGCTGGGCTGCTCATGGGGGACAAGACGAGGGTGTGAGCCCCCTGGGCAGCTCCCCTGTCCTCGGAAGGGCTGGCCCATCCTGACACCCACAAGCTGTTCTCAGACACCCCACAGGGTGGGGCACCGTGTCCATGCCTGACACCCAGCTGGAAGTGTGGGGACCCCATCGTCACTTCTTTGGCAAGCAGGGAGTCGCCAAGTCAGACACCTCGGTCGCTGTGGTTCAGGAGGGGCAGGTCCTCCAGGAGATGGGCTGCTGCAGTGATGGGCTCGGGTGCAGGGAGTACTGGAGGGCACAAGAGGGCAGGCAGTGTGTGCTGCTGCGCCGGCCCACCTTCTCCCCCTCACGTCCCGCCCTGCCCTTGACTGCAGTCCCCTCGGGGGCTTGGCCCTCTGGGCCCCATGCTGCCCTCAGAGCTTCCTTCCGAGGCAGATCCAGGGACTAGGAAGACTGGTCCGCGGTGGTGTGTGCCTGTGCTATGTGGCAGCACGGACCCGTTGGAAGCTGATGCCCATCCCACCCCCTGCCTTTGCTCTAGGTCCTCTGAGTAGACTCGATGCCGGCTCTTTGTCTGAACGCTTGGTAAGCGTCTCCAGGGACGCTCTCGGGTGGTTAGGACTTTTCCATTTGCACTCACACTTTGCAAGGGATCTTTTCCAACCTTCGTCGTTGCTGCGGCAGATTAGGGAGGTCACGT